AAATTTTTATGATAAAGTTCGTAAAGATCAATCTTTGTATAAATTTTAAGATCAATTCATAATGGTAAGTCGAAAAACTGATATCTTTATAATATATCCTATACGGTCAAAATATCATAAGATACAAGCTGATCAATTCTTGCATAATACAGAGACCTATTCTTTTGCAAGGACATACACGTCCTCTAACTCAAATAAAGTATAATGGGGAAGGAGATCTTCTTTTCTCTGTGTCTAAGGATCAAGTTGTGAACGTATGGTATTCACATAATGGCGAACGCTTGGGAACTTATAATGGCCACATTGGGGCTATTTGGACCGTGGATGTCAATTGTATTTCATTCTTTAAATATACTCGGAATGGTTTACATTAGTTCATAATCTTATTTAATTTTTATATTCAACTTAGCAACAAGTACTCTTTTATTAACTGGTTCGGCAGATAACACTGCTAAACTCTGGGATGTACAAACTGGCAAATGCTTGCATAGTTGGGAATTTAAAACTGCGGTAAAGCGCGTTGCATTTTCTGAAGATGATACCATGGCACTTGCTGTAACCGAACGGCGTATGGGTTACCCAGGGAGTGTAGTGATTTTGTCAATTAAAAATGATCTCGATGCGGAACGTATGTTGTACTTATTCTTACATTCTTGATCTAACGATTTGGAAAATATTCATGATGCATATAATATGTCATTAATAGAATCAGACGAGCCTATCAACATCATATATCCCGAAGGTTCTAAAGCGATGATTGCTGACTGGGGATATCTTAACAAATATATAATAACAGGGCATGAAGATGGAAGCGTTGTTCAATATGATTGGAAGGTTAGTTTTGTTTAAACTTTCACCTATTGATCCTTAATGTAATTTGAAGTAATAAAATTTAAATCACAGACAGGTGATCAAATTAAATCGGTTCACCCACATACGGCTGAAATTACTGATCTTCAAATGGCGGAAGATCGCACTTACTTCATTACTTCGTCGAAAGATAAGTCCGCTCAGATTTTTGAATCTAACACACTGAATCACTTAAAAAAATATATGACAGATGCTCCACTTAACTCTGCTTCAATAACCCCTGTTCAAGATTTCATAATTTTGGGTGGTGGTCAAGATGCTATGCAAGTCACCACAACTACCATGAGACAGGGCAAATTTGAATGTAGATTTTATCATAAAATTTTAGAAGAGGAAGTTGGTAGAGTTAAGGGTCATTTTGGACCTATAAATACTATTGCAGTACATCCTGACGGAAAGAGTTTTTCATCCGGTGGGGAGGATGGTTATGTTCGAGTGCACCATTTTGACGAAGATTACTTTAAATTTAAATACCCCGAGTTGCATTAGAAAACTATATATATATTTTTTTAATAATACTGTATTATTTGGCAATTTAATAAAGAAACTACATTGTGTAATCTATTAATATGATCCGTTTGACATTTATTTAATAAAAATAATATCTTGCTGAAGCAAGAAACGCGTCCTGTTATCCCACATTTTCTAGAGCTTCCATGATTACAACAGAATTTCCGCGTATAACCTACAGAGTTGTTAAATTATTTAATTTTGCAATATTTTATAAACCTTTAGATTGATCAATATGCTACTTACCACCATGCCAATGTTGTGCTTTTCAGTTGCCGAAACTTCTTCAACAGTCTCATCCAGAACCAAGTTCATGAAAGGATCAAATCCGCGTAGAGTTCCGGTTACTTTTCGACTTCCATTAAGTTGAATAAACACTCTTTTTTCCATATACCTACGTGTATAAAATAGGATACTCAATGAAGGACATAACAAACATATATAATAAGATCTTTGATTTCAGTTTCATCACGTACTTTCTTAGTTCTGGTTGCGAAGTTTTCGACATTATTGCGATTTCAATCTCGCGAATTCTATTTCAATTTAAGTATAAATTTTAATAAATTTTTTCTTTGCCAATAAAATTAAAGATCGATGATAAATGGATAAATGGTTTTGATTGGCCATTGAAAATTTAGATATCTGTCAAATTTTAAGATATTATTAAGAGTATATCAATATATCGAAAATATATCGAAAGAAAATGTCAAAAAAAATCAAGACTGACAGTCAGAGTGGTCCTTCTTTTCTCAAGGGCTCTCAAACTCGAATTTTTCGGCCCTTTCGCGCCATTGGATATGTTACAAATGACGTACCATTTGACCTTCAAACAAAAGGGAATGCATATTTTGTCACAACATGTATAGGCAATAGCTTTCACACATATGAGGTAGGTTTGATTTATGTAATTCATTGAAATTGGGAAGCTTAAAAATAAACTAATTCGTCTTAAGTGTGCCAAACTTCATTTGAAATATGTAGGTATGTTCGATTTTTGTATCACTAAACTTTTTTAAACAAACATTTTGGTTGTTGGGTTAATGTCTATTGTTCAATAGGTACACAAACAGAGAAACCTATAACGGCACTTGCTTCATACGGAGACATCATTTTCGTAGCTTGTGCAAAAGATCTAATTGCTTTCAAATTTGGTAAAGAGGTAATTAAATATTTTTAATTTCGTTTAACGAATGTTCTAATAGTAACGATGATTGTTTCCTAGATTTCGCGCTATCATGGAAATCATCAAGGAAACATCTTTTTTTTATCAATTTTTAGTAATTATATTATGGCCCTGAGCGAGGACAATGTCGTTATACTCTGGGATCATAAGTCTGGAGGTAAGATTAACTTAATTGAAAAAATTTATCATCTAAAATTCTTTATACACAATCTAATTTACTATAGTTTTCGCGAAATTTGATATTACCTAAATTTATTCATTTATTCATTATGATTATCATCTTGTCTAGAACTATATTCTGAAATTCAATTTGATGAAAATTTCACGGTATCAACTATTATTCATCCAAGCACGTATTTAAACAAAGTATTACTTGGCAGTAGGCAAGGAACAATGCAAATTTGGAATATCCGGACAAAGTACAAACTTTTAAATTCATGTTTATTATTTTGTTTGAATTGTTTATGTTTATGATTTTTTTAATGCCAGAAAATTGAAATATTCATTTTCTTCGCTCGGATCTTCAATTACATCACTCGTACAATCGCCCGTTGTTGATGTTGTCGCGATCGGTCTACTTGATGGCACAATAGTCCTTCATAATATCAAGTTAGATGAACGTATTATGTCTTACAAACAAGAGGGTTGTGTTACATCTATAACTTTCAGAACAGGTATGAGATTTATATGAATGATGTTTATTTATAAAACACCCTTATTCAATAAGTTCAAATATTAGATGATCGACCCATAATGGCGTCCGCCAATATGTACGGTGATATAGCTCTTTGGAACCTCGATGAGAAAAGATTATCACATATTATCAAAGGTGCTCATGATGGATTAATTCCTTCGATACAATTTCTTAACGGCCAGCCTATATTACTTACTTCTGGAGCCGATAATTCTATCCAAGTATTTATTATCTATAAATCTCATTTGTTTATTGCCTGAGACAAAATTTGTATTTACTAATTACGATTTAGGAATGGATTTTTGACTCTTTGGATGGAGTTGAGCCTCGTCTTTTAAAGTCAAGGAGTGGTCATCATTCTCCTCCAACTAAAATTGAATTTTATGGATCAGATGGTCATTTCATTCTAAGTGCAGCTGGTGATAGGTCATTAAGAGCATTCTCATTTATACGAGATTCACAAAGCGTAGAATTGTCTCAAGGTGATTTGCGCTTTTTATCCTTGGATGCACGTTTAGATCAAATGTTCTCTTATTTTATATCTATATCCAATATTAGGATCCATACTCAAAAAGTTCAACAAATCTAAAGATCATATAAGAACTATTGATGCTCTCAAGTTACCGCAAATAACCCATTTTTCTTCATGTAAGGTTAATTATTTTTATAAGCGTATAAAGTTTGTCTGGGCTTTATTTAAAGATTAAGTCAAGAATATAGTAAAAAATATCATTAAAAATGAACCCCTTAACAAAGAGACTTAAAATTGTTTAGTAAAGAAAAATATTAAATATTCATCTAATTATCTGTTTCTAGCTGAGGTAAAGCAGAAAGAGTGGGATAATATTATTTCTTGTCATATGAATAATAATGGGGCTCGGACATGGTCATTTCAATCCAAAGTTATTGGCAAACATGTTCTTCGTACGTTTGATGGATCACATATTAAGGTATATCAGCACAAACAATAATTGAACTATTTATTTAAAATATAGCTTTATATCATTACATTGAGTTTGGATCTTGGAAAAAAATGATAGGTTTCAAACATAAGTGCATGTGGAAATTTCGGTTTCATCGGATCATCTTCCGGCTATATTGAAATGTTTAATATGCAATCCGGCATTCATCGGAGAACCTTTGCTGGGGAAGATAGTATGTGTATTATTTAAAATGGTCACAATAGTTACACGAATCCTTCAAACTTTTTTTAGTTAATCAAATCTTATTGCAGAACACACAAAAGCCATTTCTGGCATAGCAAGTGATGCGCTTAATCGTATTGTGATCAGTAGCTCTCTTGATGGCACTGTTAAGGTGAATAAAAATAAATTAATTTATAATATAAATTAAATGTATTAATGAATGATCCTTGTTTGACTTTAATTCCAGATTTGGGATTTTAATACAGCAAAAGTTAAGAGCACGATAGAAATAGAGTCTCCAATATCAGTTTTACGATTTCATACCGAAAATGATTTGTTGGCAATCGTTAGTGATGACTTGTGTATTCGCGTTATAGATGTAGAAACTAATAAAGTTATTAGAGAGTTTTGGGGGCATAAAAATCGAATAACAGATTTGGTACGAAATTTAACAGAACTTTTCAAGTTAAATAAGTAGATAATAATGTTGACGTCATATTATCCAAAAGACATTTAGTCCCGACGGACGGTGGATCGTTTCTACATCTCTTGATGCTACAATTCGTACTTGGGATCTTCCAACTGGCCATCTAGTAGACATATTTCGAGTGGAAAATGTCCCAACTAGTATAACATTCTCACCAAATGGTGATTTTTTGGCAACTTCACACGTAGATCTTGTGGGAATCTTCTTATGGTGCCTAATTATTTTTATTTATTTATTTATATCTCAATTTATTTATCTAATAAATTTTTGTTATTGATACAGGGTAAATAGTACACTATTCTCTAGTGTTACATTGAGGAGAATAGATGATGATAATATTTCTTTGGTTGAGCTTCCAACCACATTGGGCATAGAAGATAACAATGAAGGTACAATGATAAATGTTTATATTTCGTTTTCATTGATCTCTACTAACGTTCTCTTTTGATTCATCAAATAAGATTTGTTTGTATCTAATTCTAATGAAACAAATGATGTTTCATTTGAAACACCGGAACAGCTCACGGAGCAAATGATAACTTTATCATCGCTTCCAAAGTCTAAATGGCAAAATTTATTGAATTTAGAAACTATTAAGGTAAACAAGTTTTTTTTTTTTAAAAAAAAAAAACTTCAAACTAATTCCGTATAAAAATTTAATATTTTCCTGAATAACTTAAACATTGTGAATAGAAACGAAACAAACCTAAGGAACCTCCCAAAGCTCCAGAGAGGCCACCATTTTTCCTCCCTACACTACCCGGAGTTGATCCAAAATTTGTTCCTTCCATTGCCTTAAACGAATCTGAGGAAGAAAAGAAACAAAAAGGTGGTAAAACTTTAAGTTTGAATGATATTAAAATAGAGACGGAGTTTTTAAAAATATTAAAAAGGAATCACTCTACTGGAGAATGTAAGTTTCTTTTTCTCAAATTGATATAAGAATTGGAACCGGTCAAATCAGTGTTAATTTGTCAATTAAAATTTACTGTGCGGACATCGCACAATTTGGAAACTTTTCTGTGCGGCATCCACACATCTGTTTAAGCGCACAGTCCGTACAGCGAAAAATAATCACTGGGTCAAATAATAATGACTGCAAAATTTAGTTTTTGCGATTTTGGCTGGTTAAATAAACGAAACAAAGGGTTATGCTTTCTATTGATCGGCTTCCTAACAACTAAACGGTTTCGATTTTTAATTATATCAGCTATTTAATTTCTGTTTTATAATTTAATATCTGTTTTATCATTAGACACCGAGTTCTTCAATTATGCGAAAACTTTGAACCCTTCCGCAATTGACTTTGAATTACGTACTCTGAGTCTTGACAATAATTTTGAAGATTTAACGTTTTTCTTAGATGCGATAAAATCAAGACTAAAATCTAAAAAAGATTTTGAATTGGTTCAAGCATATTTAAATCACTTTTTAAAAATTTATGGCGATATTATTACTAGTAATTACGAATCACTCGGAAGTCATTTAGAATCAATATTAAATGAGCATAGGAAAGAATGGAATAGAATAGATGAACTACTACATTATAATAATTGTATTTTAGAATTTTTTAGAAAATAAATTATCCGAAACACAATTAAAATTAATATATCATTGATTTGAACAAGACACACGTTAAAATTTTTGCAGCATTGTTTTTTGATTTATTTAAAGAAATTTGTCATCATGTTTTTGTAATACTACAATCAGAAATATTGAAAAAAATATCGTTATTGGCGTTTGATAATCTTTATATTAATTATATATATATGTATATATGCTTCTTGAAGAAAAAATAATCCTCCTCTACGTGAGATCTATCATTTTCCTTTACTTGGAGCTAGTGTACTTAGTGACGGCTTTGG